TATGACCTTATCTCACCTTTACCTGGGCACTCACCTTAAGGAGATTGTGTCCAACCCGGAACGGGAGATCAGGGTCGTTCTTAATCCCGGGAGCGACCACTCCGGTGCCGTACCCGTGCCTCGCCACCACAAACGGGTTATCAATGGTGATCCAATACTTCACATCATCCCCGAAAGTCTGGAAACAGAAATCGGCGTAGTCCTTGAAAATCCCCACAATCCCCGGGTTGCTCCAGCCGCCGAGGGTCTGCTGGAGGTGATCGGGCAGGTCCCAGTGGTACAGCGTGACCACCGGCTGCACCCGGATCTCCTTCAGCCTCTTGATCAGTGTCCGGTAGTAATTGGTGCCGATTTCGTTGTAACTCCCGCGGGTGCCGTTGGGAAATATTCTGGACCAGGACAGGGAGAACCTGTAGTGACTGACCCCGAGCTGCCTGATGGCTCGGATGTCGGCGTGGATGTTGTGATAGCTGTCGCTGCCCACGTCCCCGGTGGCCATCCGGTTCCCACCTCGCGTAAAAGTGTCCCAGATGGAGAGCCCCTTGCCGTCTTTCTCAAACGCGCCCTCCACCTGGTACGCAGCCGTGCCCACCGCCCATATGAAGTCCTTGGGGAAGGTATCGTAGAGGAAAGCCTTGTCTCCTGGGTAGGGCAGTTTACTGAAGCGTCCCCACGTTTTCAAACCAGCGTTGGGCTTTGCGTCCGCAGAGGTGAAGGCGAGGAAGGTGAAAAGGGCGAGCAGAACACTCATGGTGCCTGTCAATACTGGCCTCTGATGTCCAGTTTCTAACTCTTATGTTCATTTAACCATGCTGAGAGGCTTTCGGTGACTGAACAGCGGACTGTGGAGTGCAGTCAGCCAGCTGTGAACCCACCACACGCCGCCTCTCCAAAATCTATCAATTATTAGCCAAAGCACCTGACGCACGAAGGTCTCCAGGAATAACGTGATGTTAAGAGCCCCAAATGATCAATCTTTTGCAAAGCACGGACACATTACTTCCTCGTGCTAATATTAAATTATTATTTTTTTCTCCCAGTATGGTTAAGTAAGGCATCCGTTTGGCTTTTCCTGCAAAATGAACATTCATCATTGGATAGAGGGTGACCCAGGTGCAAAAGCCTTAATCTGATCTCAGTAACAGCACCATTATCATTCATCCTCCGCTCGCAGATAATCTCATAACTCCATTTAAATGCCTCATGTCAAGAGCACAAAAAAGCTCATCTGCATTTCTCACTGGATCAAGTTCAGCCAGGAGCGTGTGCAGGTTGAAGATGATGGGGGTGGGAAGGGGGGCGATGGATGAGGAGGGGGTGAGTGGGGTGAGGAGAAGATATGCAAACAGCAGAGTCACTGTATCCTGCTGCACCATGGTCACAATACTTCCTTATCTTGATGCTTTCAGCTCGGTTGCTTGGAAACTCGAGCCTCTTACAGTTGGCCACCTTGGTCCATAGCACCTGAATATCTCTGAGGAGGTGAGCCTGTTGGATGGTGTGTGTTGTGTGTGTGTGTGTGTGTGTGTGTGTGTGTGTGTGTTTGTCTGTCTGTGTGTGTTTTGGAATAAAGAAATAAATTGTCAGCTCTCAGTTTAATGCATCCCAGGACAAAATGTAAATTCTGGTCAGGTAAGTTTTGAGATATTAGATCTAGGCTATAGAATTTCTATATTATCTATACTTTTTACAGTTTGTATAAAGTTTTGAAACAGTTTAAATTAACAATATTCAAAGACAACACTCAGTAAATTGTGTAGAGCTGAAATGATTGGTCATTATTCGATGAATCTATTAACAGAAGACGGAAGGCATTTTGATAATCAATTAAATTAAAGTAATTTTTCACTGAACACTTCCAGTTTCTCCATTGAGAGAATTTAATTCTTTTTTTGTTTTATATCACTGTAAACTCAATATATTTGGATTTTTGACTGTTGGTCCACAAAATGAGACACCTGAAGATGTGAACTGCAGCTTTAAGTTTGTGGTGGACATTTACGGATCACTTTTCTGATATTTTATTGATTGAACAATTAATTAAAAAATCTACGGATTATTTAATAATGTAAACAAACATTTGTTGCAGTGAATTAACTACTTCATTATTAATAAGGGTAAAACAGAAATATTTGTGATCAATTGTCAACAAAAGTACTACTTGGCCTATATACTTTTTTTTTTTTAATTTTCATGTAATTTTCATAATGATGGGATGAAGAAGAAGGGGTTGCTTTAAAGGCAAATGGTTTGGTTGTGAGTTAAACTTCTGGGGCAATTAAATCAGATTTTTGTTGCAACAGCCTTGCACACACATTTTGTTCCCTGGACTGAATAGTTTGGTTATTTATTTATTGATTCAGCTGCCAATCCTGTTTGACAGCTCAAATGAAAAAGTAAGGCTATTTACTTGCTCCTGGTATCCTGATATCAAGGTCAATTGGTTAATTGAATAGATTCCGTTTCTCTTGCTGTAACCCAGACTAATGACATTAGGAGAAACCTGATGTGAAAAAATAAACTAGCTCTTCAAAGAAACAATTAAATCACTATTGTAAATGTGTGTACACCTTTGTTGTACTGTTGTGGTGACTCAGTTCAGTGAATTTGAACAGCAACATTACACACAGTGTACAGTAGATGCTGCTTCTCAGTGATGTAGAGCTCTGCAACTGACAGGCAGCGGGTTTATCTGATGCAGGAAAACAGACTCACCTTGCATGTGATTATGGCCGGTCATGGATCATAACTAGGGGCAGAACGTGGTGTGTGGGTGTTTTTCCACCGAGCCGAGCTGCACTGGAAAGTTCCCATCTCAAGTGTACATGCATACGCAACGGAGCGCTCTCCATATATAACACAGGAAGAACACCATCGAGTGATGCTTGGCAGCCTGAGAGCACAAACTGTTTGTATCAGGACTGTCTGTGTGGTTAAAGTCAATGCTGTACACACTGCAAATAATGAAACCAGAGACAGTTCAAATACAGGACTGATAATTCTGGCACTGAAGACGAGGAAACAAGTGGAAAGGGTCTGACATGAAAAATACTTTTAATTAATTTTTCATTTTAATCAATTTTCAGTTCTCAACTAAATGGCAGCATTTGTTGCATTATAAATCCAACATTTCTTAAGACAAACTGAGAAACTGAATTATTTAGCCGGTTCGTCAGTTTTCATCCACATCAAACATGTATAAGGTGTGCTGTGTTATGTAAAGAAAAACCTTATATTAGCGAGAATTAATTCCTTCTGGTATGCTCCAAAACATTTAAAAGCTGTCAGGTCAGGTTTCTTTTTTCTGTTTTTGGCCTCATAATATGGAGGATCGAAACTGCCAAGACCAAAAATAAATAAATGAATATACTATTAAATGCACCAAAACTATGAAAATAATTAATTCATATTGGTTAATTCGCCTATTTCTTTAGTTGATTCATTTTTAAACGAATTACTTATTGGGGTGCCCTGGTAGCTCATCTGGTAGAACTGGCCCCCTATGTACCAAGATTGAGTCCTTTCTGCAGCGGACGTGGGTTCGACTCCGACCTGTGGCCCTCTGTTGGGTGTCATCCGCTCTCTCTCTCCCCCCTTTTCCTGTCACTCTACAGCTGTCACCACCATTAAAGGCAATGGAAGCCCCCAAAATTTAATAATACATATTTATTTATTTTCTTATTGCATTACATTTCCCCAAACATAGTTAATTGTGTTTTATTTTTGTTTTTTTAGATCATTATGCAAAAGAGACAGCTGTCATTCAAAGTGTGTCATGGGGTCAGCCTTTCGTCTATTGGTTGACTGACGTCACAGTGCATAGACACACACCAGTGGTCAATATATGGAGACATTTTTTTTGCTCTGCCTCAGAAACAGCTACCTGCTGCTAACTGTAGCACCTGTTTGCTAGTTAGGTCAATTAACTGTACAGCTAGTGGCCTTATTAGCCAGCTGACTCTGCCCGCACTGGGAGCTTGGTCCACCGGGAGAGTACCCACCTGCACCCGCCATATCTTTGTCTTCCCATGAGTCCCAGTCCTGGTTGGAGCTGCTTTAAAACCGGCATCCATCTGTCTCAGAGGTTCCTTGGAGGCTGCTGAGCCCGGTTTCTGGTGGTCACTCACTTCTTCAACTACTATTTAGTAGTCTTGTGTCTACAGAATTTTTTAACTTTTGTGAGCAATGTTTAATTTCTGGATACTGTGTCACTGCAGACAATATCAAACTAATCCTAAAAGATTTTCTTTATAATTTCAAACCAATGGATATCCTCACAAATGTCTGGCACTTTAGATAGGACTGCATGGACAGTACAGACCTAAATGACTGACATCTCTTTGACTCTGAACTTTGTTGCATCTGTTATGCACCTTTATATATCTTGTTAGTACGTGGAATTTAATGACCTCAGACTCAACTTTAAACTGAAAACAGGTCAGCTCGGCCAAGGTGTTTTATTTCAGTGGCCATAGGGTGGCAGTACAGCACCTTCTGTTCCGAATGATCAATTATCTACATTATATCACATTCATTTGGCAGTCATGTGGAGAGGAGGAGATGGGGACTGAACCACCAACAGCATAAGATATCTGATAATGCTTCTAGATTCGACAGTATATTTATCAAGTTAAACCAAGTCAACTTAAAATGACTATATCAGAGCCCCTGCTGAACATATTATCAAGCCCTGATAATTACAATGAGCTAAATGAATACTACTGATAAATGAATGAATTAATGAATACTACTGACCACTCACTAAACAAGTAAATTAATAGATATTGGTAGATTATTAGCAGACCTCCCAGCATGCACTAGATTTAGGTTTAGTTTCAATACAGTACATTGAGGAGATGTCCTTGTATCTTAAGTTAGTCAGATAGGTCTTGTTTTTTCTAAATTAATTTCCCACTTCTGGAACAAGAATGGCAGCTGATTTTACACTTTACCAGGATACTTTTAATTACTAACAGAATAGACATACAGATAACACTGAATAGGATTGCACTCACACAGTTTATTGAAGATTACTGTCTTCAAATTTTCCATTAACTCACACTTTTACATTAAAACAACTAGTGAACAAATTTTAAGTTCACCATTCAATGGTAGTTTGGTGAATTCAGTTTTTAAGCAGCATGGAAGCTTAATCTTTCTTACAGTTAGGTGTGGTGGACTTTTTGGGTTTGTCTCTTTTCTGTTCTCTTCTCTTCGGTCCATTGTTGTGTCTCTGCGTGGGAGTTTGATGCTGTTTCACTATGTCATCGTGGTCCTGGATAAACAACTTGACCTGAGAAGACAGTAGGAAACAGTAAGCTGATCGTTTTCTGCTGCTCTGGTTGTTTGTCTCCCTCTCTGCTCGGTCAGGGTACGTACCTTGTCCAGCTGTTTCTCTGTGTCATTCATATCCACACCTTCCTCTCCTTCTACATTTTCGCCTGTCATTTCATAGAGATTGAGAGTTGCCATCTTAATCTGTCCCAGCAGGAGTGTTTTCTTTGCTGCGGTTTCCTGAATGTGGTTCCACTTCCTTTCCTGTGTGTAGACAGGGACAAAACCTAATGTCAGAAGATGGTGGTTCAATCTTTTGGCAACATTTGATCTGATGTTCTGATGCCGGATTTTTACTCCTGGAGTCTCGTACCCATGTCAGAGCTTTAGAGCATTTCTTCTCTAGTTCTGTCTGGAGCTGGGACAGCTGGTTGTTCTTGTGCAGCCGCAGCAGGTGATGCTGGTCCTGCAGTGTCAGCAGAGTTCTCCTCTGCTGGTTGGCCTGCTCCTGCGCCTCACTGTCCCTCTGATAGAGCTGGTCTCTAAAGTGGAGAAGACTCTCCAATTGACCCGTGAGCTGCTGCACATCTTCAAACTGTAAACACACACACACACACACACACACACACACACACAAATTAAAGGTGTAGCCCCAAAATTGAACTCCTTCTCTACTCAAAACATGTCATGGTTTGTTATAGTGGTTTATGGAGGAGGTCAGCCACCTCTAACCTGACTGCACCAGTTGGCAGATCATTTAGGAAATGGTCATTGGAAACTTTTTGGAAAAGGGCAGACACTTTCAAAAAATATTTGGCAGGTTATTGGGTGAACATCTGTCTATCATCATCTATCACGGGCGAACTTCAACACATCGGATCAGTAAGTCGGGAGAAGAGTGACAACATCTTTTCCATCAAGAAAAGCCTTCAGTGCTTTCAATTAAGAAATACATTCCAGTTCTGATATAAGAGATGCTAACAGCGTCTAATCTTTAGTAGCTGCTATTGTTGTTTGTGAGCGAACTGTCTCTTCTCACACACACACACACACACCTAGGGTTAAACCACGACTGTAGCTCATACAGTAGCTGCCTGCAAGGAAGCTGATTGGTCTGGCACTGTGGTGCGGCAAGATGGATTCTCGCATGATATTGTGATTTTGTGATCTCGTGAGTCCAAGGTTAGGCCACCTTGCCTGAAACAAAGACCACCCCTCCTATCATTATACCAATTATTGCACTTAAATAAAACATTGACCTCTAGGGAGGAAAAGCCAGAGGCACTATTTCACACAGCAATGCCATATATTTAATGAGTTACTGTGCCCTCTGTTTAGGCCATCATCAAGAGAGATTTTTTTATTTCCAGGGGTCGAAAGGAGCTTTGGACCCTCGGTCCAGTTTTTTGTTACAAAATACTTGCTTTATGGAGGATTTGTGTGGAGAAACCTGTAGAGCACATTACGCTTCCAGAGAGTTTTCTGTAATAGTATGGGAACTACAGGAGTTGACATGTTAGTAAAAAGATAAATATATTTTACAATTTAGAATTTAGATTACTAGTACCTTAGTCATTTTGACGACCCTCTCCATGAAGTCCTGATACACAGCGTGTCCCTGCAGCTGATGCTCTAGCTCCTGTTTCCTCCCCATCAGTTCAGCATACTCCTCCTTCAGCCTTTTAATCTCTGCCTCATTCTGAAGTCGCTCTTTCCTCTCCCTCTCTGCTTTCTCAATAGCTTGATGAGCACCTTCCCTCTGCGCAGATGGGAGTTATGGGGGTTTATTTAGGCTCTTGCTATCCAGTGAAACTTAAATCCACCGTGTACAGTCCAAAGCAAGAGTTGTGTGTGAAATGGTCCCCTACCGTACCTTGAGAAAGAAGTCAAAGCTCAAGTATAAGTCCTCCACTTCCTTAATCTTCTTGTTCAACTCAGCTTTGCACTCGTTCAAACTCTTCAATACCTACATGAAAACGCACACAGTAATATTTATGATGCATGGTCAGTGGACATTAAGAAAGGAAGGTCGATGGTGGGTAACTGCTGGATTAATTCAGCCAAAGGATCCCTGCTGATGTTCGGAAACATCTCTTTCCAATGACGAAAGTTGAATGAAGTTGTTCTCTAGGATAGACCTGTGTGGGGAGAAGATGTGCTTCAAAGCAATGTGTTAAGGGCTTGTTTAAGGAAGTTGGTCAAGGACACTGATCAAACAGTGGAATTTTGTGGAAGTATGGAATAAAAAAAACAAAGGGGATTTAAATATAGTTTGAAAATCTAAAAACACAACACCTCACTCTTACCAGTAAGTTGGGCAGTAGTGTAGTGGTGGCTGAACTAGTGGGTACACTTGTAATTTATGCCCCAAATTCTTTAAACGGCCCATCCAGCAAACCATAAACACCCTACTCTTGCATATTTAGCTCACCAAAAAAATGTGCAGGCAGTATTTGCACATTGCCTCTTATCTTCTGCAGCTTGATTTCAGGCAGTAAGGATCATTATGAAATTAACATCAGCCACAGAAGAGGTGCAGATTTTCCAATCAATACTGGCCCATAGACTGCAGGGTGAGACAACTACATAATGCATTTTGAGTGAAGTAAGCATGCCTTCGCCATCCTAGTAAAGCAAAAAACCCAGCTGGAAGATCACTACTGAATTATGGACATTAGAGGAAGATTAGAAGCGGGTATACCCAATGCCGACTGACATATAAGTGCACTAGCTCACCTGTTCGCGCTCCTCCTTTTTTGCAATACAGTTTTCCTCCTGCTTGCGTTTCCTCTGTATATCAAATATGGTATCAGTACAGCCTCCTGTCTTCACAGACGAACCTCTGTTCACACACAAGCAGGGTAGAAAGTTACTGACACCGATCGCTCAGTCATTTTAGCACGGTGGATGGGGGGGGGTCCACTTCACCCCAAACTCACCGCGGGTTGGTGCTACACTCCATCACTCTCTGTGCTCCTGTTTAAGATTGTTAAAGTTAAAACGATGCCCAAAACTTCCAGCTCTTCCTCGCGTTGTTTAACGTTTGTTTTAAAATCTATCCGTGGTCTCCAGTGTTCCTCCTCCCTCCCACTTCTCTCTCTCTCTCTCTCTCGCTCTCTCGTTTCTATGGTAACACAAACCAGGAACTTTTAAAAGGCACAATCCGGAATTTCTGTGCAACTTTCAACAACTTTCAAAACAAAGATTTTTCCGTTTTTATTTAAATGTTCCATGTGTGAGATTATGAATATTGGAGATTCTGATACATTTTTATTGACAATTTACATAAATGCGTTTTATGTGTCGGGTTTCAGGTCGGATTTTCCGCGAAAATTCAACGGATGTGACGTTTTTCGCACGCTCCCTCCGCGTCCCTGCAGCGTCCAACAAGAGCTAATGTTGGCTTATAAATCCGCTAACGTGTCCACTAACAGGCAACACAAAGAGAGTAGAGTTAAAGGTAACATTACTGCAAAGCCTGTGAAATCTATTTTATTTAATTAAAAAAAAATTGTTTTCATATATTGAGTAACTTCCTGTTTAGATGTTGCCTAGCAACACAAGCAGAGAATCGTGCAGCATAACAGCTTGTGTATTATTCATGGTTGTATTAAGGATAATGCCTTCATATATTTTCTTTTACTTACCTGTGGTGGGTGGGAGCATTCTCATCAACATATGTAGGGTAGGATTTATAGAAAAAAAAAAAAAAAAAAAAAAATATTTATATATATATATATATATATATATATATATATATATATATATTTTGGAAATATTTTATTTTAATAAAACTTCTAAATCATCTGACTTGAAGGATTTCTGTTCTTCTGCTTGACTTTGTTACACATGAAGACATCACAACTGATTATGCGGTCGGGGACGAGCAAACCGCTTCATCCGAGACTTCAAAGTGAAATAAAGAGAAATTGAGCAGGTCAGGTTTTATAGAGAATTATATTGATACAACGGAGGATGTGACTGGGTGGATGTGAGGCCAAGTTAATCAGCAGTGACAAACACTACAACCACAGCTGCTCATGACTTCCATCTACCAGCAAGTACAAACCTAAAAATGAGACGCACACTTCTATCTTTTCCAGAGGCAACTCTACATTTGGACAGGTTTCTGACATTTTTTTAATTTTTCAATACATGGTAAAAAAGGTATTAATATACAGAACTGTAAACAAAAACGCATGTTTGTAGTAAAATGACACAATTAACGTCACAAAGAAAAGATTATGGTTAATCTCTTTCGGTTTTTAAAAAGTGTGACACAGAGGGAATGATTGATAAGCAATACTGCTTTATGGGAGCACTTTAATAATAATAATAATAATATCGGCGGTAAAGGCTTTACAGCATCCCCCCAGTCAGCATCAAACACAACAACAGAACATGAAACAGACATAAGAGACTATTTACAAGAGTGATCTTTTTTCTTTTTTTCCTGTTAAAATTATTTCTACTTAAATGTGGCGAACATCATCACAATGCAACAACCCCACAGCTGATGATATCGATGTACTGATGTAGTGTGCATGTGGTATATGCAAGTGTGTCAATTTGTGTAACAGTAGGAGCGTCGGCGTATGAAACGTTTAAAAAGTTCAATGTCCATATTTTCTTTCCTACGTCATTCCTCCACGGCTAGAGAAGACGCGCCGTTTTCGCTTGTCCTCCCGTCATTTTTTTTTTTAGCTCATCTTCTTCGCCCTGCTGCCTTCTTGCGACCCTAGGAGAGAGAGAGAAAAAACGTAGGGTGAAAACTGAGCTTATAAATTCCTCCACACTTCTTAAATTAGTCTAAAACCTAGCATTTCCAGATATGATTCATTTAATATTTTCAGTACCTTCGGTGTTGGCTCGTCCTCCTGCTCTTCCTCCTCTTCCTCCTCTTCTTCCTCGGAGTCGTCTTTAGCAGCAGCTGCCTTCGATCGCCCACCGCGCCTGGATACCACAGAGGGGAAGCACAGTGAATCAGAATGCCTCAAAATGTAACAGGGAGACATTTGTAAATGTAGAAATATGACAAAAACACATCACCACCGCCCACCCACGGGAATTCAAATCTCTCAAATATCACCCACAAGGTGCTAAAGCTTGACTAAGAAGCATTTTCTGCAGTCAAATCAGTATGTCAGGCACACACACACTTGCCAGTAAGTTAGAGTGATAGCTTAAAATGCTCACCTATCACACGACTGTATTCTGTCCACAAAGTACCAACAGAGACTTATTAAGAGCACCACTTCACAGCTAATTTGTAATCATTTGTACAAAAAGGAGACTATGACTTGCAGAATATGAGAACTGTGCAGATTCAGGCTCACTAGTAAGTTCCACTTAGTAGAAATTCTCTGCGTTCATGTACATCTCATAGCCTTTTTTTTTTTTTTTTTAAATCTGGTGAAAATGTGGTCCATTGCAATTACTTTAGCAGACAGAAACAATATTCCAAAAATCTCTCTCTCGCTGTAGAGAATGTTTGCTGAAGTTTTATGCAAAAGCCTGGAAGATCACAAAGCTAGTGTGCTGCCTCTTACGCTGGTTTCTTGGCAGGTGGCTGAGCCGATTTGGGTGGACGTCCTCTCCTCTTCTGTGGTGTGGACTCTGCTGACTCTGAGCTGTTGCACGAAGACAAAAATGCAAACGACACCAAAGAGTGAGTCGAAAATTAATCTTGCTGACAGAAATCTCAGTGCCAACAGCAGGAGTTATTAGTGAAGCTGATCCAACTTCTCTCTCTGCATTTACTGCTTACAGGGAGTTTTTTTTTTTTCCCCTCTTCCTTCCTCTTACCCTTGTGATCGCCGCGGCGCCCTGGCTTGCCTTCCCCCCTTGGTCTTCAACTCCATATTTTCACTGCTCCGGTCATCCTCTTCCTCCTCTTCCTCTGCTTCCTCCTCCACTCGCTCCTCTTCTTCTTCCTCTTCCTCCTCCTCTGGTGGAGGAGCTGCTTTCTTTCGTCCCCTCTTTCCTTTGGGAGGAGTGTCCTGACTGGGAGCGGCAGACTTTGGAGGCCGACCCCTCCGTCCTTTTTTCGGCGGGCTGTTCTGTTCGTCCTCCGGCTGATTGTCCTCATCCCACTGGTCCTCGGACTCGGCCGCTGCGGTTGTGTTGGCTGCCGCTTTCTTGCGTCCACGCTTTGGCTTGCTATCCTGGTCGTCACTGGAGGCCACGACACGTTTGCGGCCGCGGGGCTTTTCAATATCCTGTGAAAGAAACAACAAATGGTTGAGCAGGGCTCACAGGCTTCCTGCTGTATGTAGCCGGTGTGTATTCTAGTGACTAGTCACTCATTCCTGTAAAATATTTGAAGCATAGGCAACATTAATATTTTTAATAGAAGATTCCTTTATTTTTCACTTTTTATAACAACATTTCTAAACATTATTGAGTCAACCTATGCAGTAGGTCTGTAGGCTGTTGTTAAGTTTACACAACGTTGTTAATCCTGTTTTGACTTGGGGTGCCCGTTTGGCTTGGTTGGTGGAGCTAGCGTCCCACGTACCGAGGCTGAGTCCTTGCTGCGGCGGCCCAGGGTTTGAGTCTGACCTGGGGCCCTTTGCTGCATGTCATCCCCTCTCTCTGCCCCCCTTTCCTGTCTACCTTCAGCTGTCACTATCAATAAAAGGCAATAAAAGCCCCAAAAAATACTTGTTTTGACTAGAATCCAGCAGGTGTTTGCACAGTACGAACAAAACAGGCACGAGGATTTATGACTGCAACACTTAACTGGTTCACAGCAACGTGACTATTTCTACTTGTCCTAAGCTACTGTGTCATTTCCGATTATATTTATTTGTGCATTCACACTATAAATCAGACTGAGAAAATTGTTGTTTTTCATTACTTATAATACTTGAGTTTCTCCAGATCACACTCTAAAAAAGCCATTTTATTTTTGCTTTAATTATAGATTAATCTATCAGTCATCTTCTCAATTAACTGATTAGTTGTTTGGTCCATAAAATGTTAATTAATTGGCAATTATTTTGATGAATCGTTTTGAGTGACAATTTTCTAATAGTTGACTGTGACTCGATTAATTGACTACTCGCTGCGGTATCAAAACTAAATTACAGTAATAAGATGGAAATCGACCTTCAATTCCCAGAAGTAGGTTGGTGGAAGAGGATTATGGCTAGGAGATTAATTTAAGATATTTAGGATTTGGAACAAATAACTCAATAATGTGATATTTTCGGGATGATAACCGGAGACTATTTACACACAAGACTGTTTGAGAAACTCTTATTAGATATGACGGCACAGCAGATGTTCATTTTCACTCTAATAAAACATACAAATAACTCATAAATTATAAGAACAAGCAGCTCAAGACCGTGGAAAGACAACACTGAAGCTGTGTTGCTATATCATTAAAACTAGTCTCACATCACAATAGATACTATCAGTATATAAAGAGGTTTTAGTACCTTGTCAGTGCTGTCTGCTCTCTTTAGGGTGATGTCCTCGTTCTCACTATGATCCATTTCTGTGCTGTCGTGCCTGAAACACAACAGCAATTATAAATTGTTAATATTTTATATACAATCACAGAAATGCAACTCAAGATGCAACAAGTGAGAAGATACAAAAGCAGTCTCCGTCAGTTCTTCTGTGTAGTCTATGAGCATGTGTCAGTTAACATCTTGACTCTCTGTGTTCCGATCCAATTATTCACCAAATGGAGAAACAGTGAGTCTTTAGAGAAGTGTGCATGTGCATTACATGTCTTGTACCTGGTCTTGCTGCGTTGTGGGGAGCCTGGGTTGGACGAGGAGTCGTCGTTGCTGGCAGTCTCCATACGAGAAGCTTTACTCTGGAGCTGCTTCCCCGCAGACGACAGCGGCTTGTTTACTGCTCCCAAAACATTAGCGGACTTGGGCTTGAGGAAGGAGATGTGACAAGAGTTTGAGTTGGATGTGTGTTCCATCCAAAAACACAAAAATGAGAGGGAAAAAGCAAACAATCATTTCAGAGTTTACCTTTCCTGGTGTGAAGAATGACTTCATCTCTGGTGGGAGATAATTTTTTGTGTTGCTGAAATTCTGAAAACAGAGAACAATATTGTGTCAGAGCTTGTTCGTGTAAAGAGAGAAAAAGAGAAAAGAAAA